TGCAAAAAGCTCTTATCTTTTGATGCTATTTTAATGGCAAAAGCTGCAATTATTTTTGCACCAACTTAAATACCATTTATTTAGTGTTCTCAGCTGCTTCTTTGAGCCCCTAGGCAGGAAGAGGGATCTATTTTTGGCCTCCCCAACACTTACTGTATCTGATACATGTTTGTTGAATGAATGAATGAATGAATGATACATGGATTGTTTTTGAAATTACAGCCGTAAGGATAGTAAAATTTAACTGGCTGTGTATTTAGATAATGTTGAGTTCTTCATTTGGAGTATACTTTGTATCTTCTTTTGGATTTGTTCTTCCAGTTATAGGCTCATCCTGTCTTGTCAGTTCTTGTGCCCTCCTGTCTTTCCCCATTCAGTAATCAGTCCTAAAGGACAGTGAAACTGCCTAGAACTAGGATCTGAAGTTTTGGCAGGAAGCCCTTCAGAGTTGGTGATCTGAGTAGTGTCTTTGCCAGCTGGAGCTTAGAACAAAGAAACTAAACAAACTCTTGGCAGATTCTGAAATACAGCTTTTTGCTTCTTCAGAAATTGTGATTCTAGTCAGTTGATGCTTAGAAATGTGCACAGAACTCAGAATCCAGCAACCATGAATTGCAGTCACTTTTGATGCCTGCAGTGCTTCACTAATTACTGAATTTGTAGCTGTTCATTGGAATTATAGTCTAATAGAATTTTGGAGCTAGAAAAGTCTGTTCATTTGCGATAATTTCACCCATTTCCCTAATTGTATAGGTGAGGAAAATTAAGATCATGTTTCTAGTTGATGATACCTTTGGGCTCTGGTCTCCTTATGCTTGGTCTAGTTCATTTCCTGTTTACCAACATCTGTCTGAGTTATTAGGGAATGGCAGTGCTAGAATCATGCTTAGAGGAATAATACATTTTTCCCCTTGATCTCCTACAAGCCTAAATGTCTTGAGCCTGAGACTGGTAATTTACCGGAAGCTTTTTGTGCAAGTTACGCAATTATCTATCTCTTGTGTATTTTTGAAATGAGAAAATGACAAGCAAGTTTACGATAAGGATATTAAGTTTTAAAAATATTTTATAAGTAATAGATGAATGTGATTAAAAGTGCAAAGGGCTTCCAGTGAAAAAGTGCAAAGGGCTCCCAGTGAAAAGTGATACTCCTCCCACCTGGTTTTCCTTTCTCCACCCCAGAAGCCATGCGTTTCTTAGGTATTCTTCCAAAGGAACCTCCCCACCCCTTGCTTTTCTAAAGAATTAAAATTCTCAGTCGTTAGTGAACATTGTTTCTTTATGGAATGCTCATGAAAATAGTGGTTAATAAATTTACTGGTACTAAAAATGTCTTTTATCAATTTTAGCTTTGATTTCTGAGTGATTTACTAGAAGGATTTCTTAGTTTTTCCCCAGCATTTTATTATGGTCACTTTCAAACACATAGCAAGATTGAAAGAAGTCTACCATGGATACCTGAATCCCAACCACTAAGGTTCTACCATTATCATTTTACTGTATTTGCATTATTACATATTTATGTGTTTGTGCATCTGTCCATTCCTCAGTTCATTCAGAACTCCTCATCAGGACTGTCTGGTTATAGAAACAACCATGGATAGAATTTGCTGCTTTTGCCACAGAAGCAAATGAAAGGCTAGAGAATGGAGAGAAATGACATGGTCCATGATTTAAACTGGGAATATATTTTTCTGTTGTTTTTTAAAAAAGATAAGGAGTGGTAAAACATAGTAACCCACTTATATTATGGATTAAGTTGGTTTAGTGGCTGGTCAAGAGCCTAACCACTTCTTTTGATGTTTCATTCTCAATTACTTCTACATAGGTCTTCCTTCAGGTAAATCAAGCTATATTTGATGTTTAACAGAGAAGTTTGTTGAGATGTGTACTTTTCCAGTCCTCCAAAGAAAAACTATATTGATTTTGATATGGAATGGTGAGGACAATTATGTTTTAGTATTTTAGTCTTCTCCCTTGGACAAAGTAAGTTTCTGGAGACTGTACATTAAGACCTTAATGTGCCAGGAGTGGTGGCTCACGCCTGTAATCCCAGCACTTTGGGAGGCAGAGGCAGGCAGATCACGAGGTCAGGAGATGGAGACCATCCTGGCTAACACGGTGAAACCCCATCTCTACTAAAAATACAAAAAGATTAGCCAGGCATAGTGGCGGGCGCCTGTAGTCCTAGCTACTCGAGAGGCTGAGGCAGGAGAATGGCGTGAACCTGGGAGGCGGAGCTTGCAGTGAGCCACTGCCTTCCAGCCTGGACGACAGAGCGAGACTCCGTCTCAAAAATAAATAAATAAATAAGACCTTAATGTATAAATTGCTAACAGGAGAATAAACATTTTTTATAATTAACAATAAGAACGTTAATCCTCTTAAACATTATTTGATTTTCCTAAAAGCCAAGTGAAAAACAGATACAGATGCTTCTCAACTCACTTAGAACAATGTCCTGATTAAACTCATCATAAGTTGAAAGTATTTTAAGTCAAAAATGCATTTAATACACCCAACGTACCCAATATCATAAGCTTAGCCCAGCCTACCTTAACCATGCTCAGAACGCTTACATTAGCGTATAGTTGTGCAAAGTTATCTAACACAAAAGCTTACTTTACAGTAAAGTGTTGAATATCTCATATAATTTCTTGAATACTGTAGTGGAAATGAAAAGCAATGGTTGTATGGGTACCATCGTCAAGTCAGAAAATCAAGCTGACCCATCCTAAGTCAGGACTGTCTGTATTTGAAATGTCGAATAGGAATGAGATTTGGTGAATATGGTTTGAAATACATTGCCAGTTTGTTCTGATGGGGAATGGAGAAAGGAAGATAAAACACCTGATAGAAAAATGTCACCCACAGTCCTTTTACTTTGAAGATGATAAACAGTGTTAACATTTTATCCTTTCAGCCTTTATTCCCTACTAATGTTTAAACAAAATTAGGATAACCATGTACACACTGTTTACAACCTGCTCCCCCCTTTATGTTAAATAATTTTTCCCATTTGATTAACATCATCTTACAAAATGGAAAACTGTATTCATTAAGACCTTAGAGAGGATGATTAACTTTCTTACCATAGAGTGTGTTATCAAGGAGAGTTAAGTGCATGTTATCACATCACTTGCGGTTTGGACTGATAGGAAAAAGATTAAAAAGGCAGTAAAACAATGTCACTGGTTGATGAAATAGATCAAGAAAAGATGAGCTGAGAGCTATGCAGGCAGTTCTCATTCTTAATATCAGCTGAGATTGGACAAACTGGCAACTATTGCAGATACTTTTATCATGTATACGTTAGTGGGACTGTTGATGTTTAGCTGATTTACTCATACTATTGTTGCTTCTCATGGATGGAAGAATTTTTTTTTTAATGCGTTATCCCAGTCAATGTTTGTTTAAAAAAAACAAAAACAAAAAAAACAGCTTTGTTTCCCGTAGAGTTCTCATTAAAGGGAGGTTTTGCTGCACTGGAAGATTGAAACAAAACGCTGGTGAGGTTGGCAATTCTTATCTATGGGAGTGAACAGAGAGATCCTTTCTCTCTCCTCTCTCATTCATCTGGCAGGATAGTTAATCTAGTCGCTTTGAATTTAGGGAAGCAGGCTTTCTTTGTAGGGACTTACTTTCTAAAATGGCATTCATCTTCAATTAAAGTCGCTGTGGGAAAGGAGAGATTGGGCCCATGGCACCTTGATAGGCGTATTCTCATGATGCTAATAACAGCAGTAAGAGAAGACAGACCTCACCTATGAAATAGGCATTATATGGTGTGACTAGTGGTCTGAGAGTGTCATGCTTAGCCTTCTCCCATTTTACTTTACCTTTTGATAACTCTGAAGAATCTTTTTAAAATTTACTTGTAAATACATTTTAGGAGTCCCAATTTCGTAAAATGGTAACGTTAAGAGAGACTGAAATATTTTAAGTCTCCAAGAGCAGTTAACCCCATTTAAAAGAAATTTATTTTGAATTCTTTACTGCTGATTCCTTAGATCAAGCTTGTCCAACCCGTGGTTCACAGGTCGCATGCGGCCCAACACAAATTCGTAAATTTTCCTAAAACTTTAGGAGATGGGTTTTTTTTGCGATTTTTTTTTTTTTTTTTAAAGCTCATCAGCTTTCATTAGTGTTAGTGTATTTTATGTGTGGCCCAAGACAATTCTTCTTCTTTCAGTGTGGCCCAGGGAAGCCAAAAGATTGGACACCCTGCCTTAGATAATAATTTATTTTCCTCTCTAGTGAGAGGCTCATGACAAGAGGTAAAACTGAAGTACACTATAATTTGGGTGGGACCTGTATTGGAGCTCATATCGCTTTTATTTTATAATGATGCTTGGGGGAGTTTGGGAGATTGTTCTTTTTTGTTTTTGTTTCTTGTGTGTGTCTGCGTGTGTGATACATACACTAGAAAAGCTGTTCTTTTTCTTTTGGTTATAAGTGAAGCTTGAGAAGGTAATTCTGTAGCAAAACTGAAACTAGGTAGAACAGTCATGTTTGTGACCTTAAAGCCGCCATTTGCCAAACCTAGCAGTGGTTTTATCTGTTTTCCTGTAACATGTATATTTATAATTACTGTGTTCAGAGGCATTTCTCTTCCTTTGTAAAACATGAGATGCTTTTAAATGTTTACATGCCGTTAGATATTTTAAGATAATACCGCTCCAGTTTTTACTCTTTTCTATCGAATATTAAGTACAAAGGTGCAGAGTTAGCTTGAATACTGATTTCAGCTTGCATGAAATGAATATAGAGCAGCTGTCCAAATTAAGTTAAAAACAAAGGAAGTTCCTGTGTGTCGTTTCCTGTCTCTTAAAAGCAAACAAAAAACTTTCCATAATTATTAAGGTCCTTTCAGGGTATCTCTAATATTAACAGTGTGAATTTTGGTATTTCAATATGCTGAATTGTTGGATGTTCTTGCTCACCTTATTAAGGACATTTTCTTAAAAGGTAAATGATTTATTTTTCTTTTCCTTTATCAGAGCACAGCAATGGAGGAAACAGCTATATGGGAACAACATACAGTGACGCTTCACAGGGTAAGTTTGTGTTGCAGTAAATAATCTGTGTATAACTCAGGATACTGGCAGCTTGGAAAACAATGGAGGAAAGCCAGATGTCAGGAAGCCAGAGGAAGGAGGAAACTTTTTCTATATTCTTTTGTTTAAAATTAGAGTTAAAATAATTTTTTATTAAGGTCAAAAGTGAGCATGATTACTTTTTCATATATCCTTTTGAGTATTTGCTGCTTTTATTCCTGACTTAAAAAGTAAGTGATATGCTTTTTAAGTTTTTGAGTGATCAGATAAAAGACTCTGTATATTAGTATAAATTATTATAAACTGCTTCAACCGGCCGGGCGCGGTGGCTCAAGCCTGTAATCCCAGCACTTTGGGAGGCCGAGACGGGCGGATCACGAGGTCAGGAGTTCGAGACCATCCTGGCTAACACGGTGAAACCCCGTCTCTACTAAAAAATACAAAAAATTAGCCGGGCGAGGTGGTGGGTGCCTGTAGTCCCGGCTACTCGGGAGGCTGAGGCAGGAGAATGGCGTAAAAACCCGGGAGGCGGAGCTTGCAGTGAGCTGAGATCCGGCCACTGCACTCCAGCCTGGGCGACAGAGCGAGACTCCGTCTCAAAAAAAAAAACAAAACAAAAAAAACTGCTTCAACCTTTCTGAGTATATATGCATGCATTGTGGGAGTGAAGTTAGAAATTAAACCGGTTGTATGCATAATAAAATCCTAAAAGATACTTAATTGATTTCAACCATGTTGACCCAAGCTGTTGCTTAAACAATTGCAGACGCGAGAAGAGAGATGAGTAGTAGTGAGAGATGAGGTCTTACTTGGTGGGACTAAGAACTTTGTCTGAAGTGAGGCTGCTATCAATTTGAATTCTAGTTCTTCCTTTCTCTTGCTTTAGAAATGGGGAAGTGATTCAGTCACCTTCGAAAGCCTTGATTTTCCCAAGTTTAAAATGGAACAAATTGACACCAGTTCATGCTTTACCAATTTGTAAAGTTAAGTGCCTCTCAAAATTCTGTTTCCTCTCTTTGAAGAGAGCTGAATCTACTGATTACTCCCTTTCTTAGAGAATGTATGGAAAGAGAGAATATTTAAATATTGACCTTGCACTTTACACTTACTATTTCTGCCAGCTGTATCCATTAGTAGGAAGATGGAAAGGGAAAAGAGTCATGTTCCTGGACTCTGCCCCTGATTATCTCACGAATGTTTGGATCTGCACATAGTAGATAATGGGTAAATTAATTATTAAAAAATAGTGGTTTTTGGCCAGGTGAGGTGGTTCACGTCTGTAATCCCAGCACTTTGGGAGGCCGAGTCAGATAGATCACGAGGTCAGGAGATCGAGACCATCCTGGATAACACAGTGAAACCCTGTCTCTACTAAAAATACAAAAAAATTAGCCAGGCATAGTGGCGGGTGCCTGTAGTCCCAGCTACTCGGGAGGCTAAGGCAGGAGAATGGCGTGAACCTGGGAGGCGGAGTTTGCAGTGAGCTGAGATCGTGCCACTGCACTCCAGCCTTGGCGACAGAGCAAGATTCCCTCTCAAAAAACTTTATAGTCAACTTTGTAATGTTTCATTATTAAATGGTGAAGAAAATCATTAAATAATACTAACCTTAACTTTCATAAACCTGCAATATGGCCTCCCTTTGTTTGAAATGTATTGATAGGCAGCATATTTAAATCAGATACATACGATTAAACATATAAAATAACTTCTTACCTTATGACTGGTGGTGATGTCAATGATTTGCTATTATTTTTATCACATTACGTTTGTTTTTATTAAGACTTTCATTGTTTTTATTGGTATAATTTACATATAGTAAAATTGACCCTTAGTGTACAGTTCTGAGTTTTGACAAGCGTACACAGTCATGTAACCACCACAATTAAAATACAAGACAACTTCAATACAAAAACTTTCCCTTACACCTATTTTTAATCATCCCTGTGCCCTCACCTCCACTTAACCAATGATATGGTTTCTTTTTGTACTTTTTTGCCTTTTCTAGAATGTCATATAAATGGACTCATATAACATGTAGCCTTTTGAGACTGACTTCTTACACGTAGCCTAATGTATTTGGGATTTCTCCATGATGTTATTCTATCAGTAGTTTCTCTTATTGCAGAGTAGCATTTCATTGTATGAATGTATAATTGTGTGTCCATTCTCCAGCTGTGGTATATTTGGGTTTTACAGTTTCCATTGATTATGAACAAACCTCCTTTAGTGTACAGATTTTTGTATGAACATAACTTTTTATTTCTTTTGGGTAAATACTTAGGAAAAGACTTGGCTGTGGGTCCCATGGTAACAAGTTTTAAAGAAATGGTCAAACTCTCTATACCATCTAACACCGCCACTGGCAGTGTATAAGAGCTCCAGTTGTTCTGTGTCCTCATCAGCACTTGATACGGGTTGAGCATCCCAAATCTGAAATCTAAAATGCGAAATTCACAACTTTTTGGTGATGACGTCTTGTTTAAAAGAAATGCTCGTTGGAACATTCTGAATTTTGGATTTTCAGATTATGAATGCCAAACTGGTAAGTGTAATGCAAGTATTCCCAAATCCAAAACATTTGAAATCTGAAACACTTCTGGTCCCAAGCATTTCAGGTAAAGGATACTCAATCCGTATTGTGAGATTTGAAAAGAAAAAAAAAAAAAAAAAAAAAAAAAAGGCTGCGCACGGTGGCTCACGCCTGTAATCCCAGCAATTTGGGAGGCAGAGGCTGGTGGGTTACCTGAGGCCAGGAGTTCGAGACCAGCCTGGCCAATATGGTGAAACCTCATCTCTACTAAAAATACAAAAATTAGCCAGACATGATGGCCCATGCCTGTAGTCCCAGCTACTTGGGAGGCTGAGGCAGGAGAATTGCTTGAACCTAGGAGACAGAGGTTGCAATGAGCCGAGGTTGCGCCATTGCACTCCATCCTGGGCAACAGAGCAAGACAAACTGCCATTCAATATGTACCTAGTGGTATCACATGTGGTTTTAGTCTGCTTATCTCTAAAGACTCATGATCTCTTGATGTGCTCATTTGTTACCCATATATCTTTGGTAAAATGTATTCAAATCTTTTGCCCATTTTTAATTGGGCTTTTCTTATTGAGGTTTTATAACCTTGTGGCAAAATACAACATAGACTTCACGTATTCCAGTCTGTTGCCTATTTTTAAGCCCTATGTTGCTTGTTTTTTAGTTGTTGAGTTGCAGTAGTCTTTATATATTTTGGATATTAGCCAGTTATTAAATATATGATTTGTAAATATTTTTTTCCTTTCCATGGATTGCCTTTTTACTCTGTGATTGTTCTTTTTGGTACACAGAAGTTACTGAGTTTTGAGAGGTTTTTTTTTGGTTTTTGATTTATTCATTTATTTATTTATTTACGTATTCAGGATACAGGTTCTTTATCAGGTATTATTTTGTAAATATTTTTTTCCCATTCTGTGATTTGCCTTTTCTTTCTCATAATGACAGTATCTTTTGCAGTACATGCTTTAAGTTTTGATAAAGCTCTGGCCAGGTATAGGGGCTCATGCCTGTAATCCCAGCACTTTGGGAGGCCGAGTCAGGCGAATCACTTGAGGCCAGGAATTTGAGACCAGCCTGGCCAACATGGTGAAAGCCCATCTCTACTAAAAATACAAAAATTAGCTAGGAATGTTGGCATGTGCCTATAGTCCCAGGTACTCGGGAGGCTGAGGCAGGAGAATCGCTTGATCCCAGGAGGCAGAGGTTGCAGTGACCTGAGATCATGCCACTGCACTTCAGCCTGGGTGACAGAGTAAGACTCCGTCTCAAAAGGAAAGATAGAAAAATTTTTGATAAAGTCCAGTTTGTTAATTTTTGCTTTTATCAATCATGCTTTTGGTTTTGTATCTCAGAAATCTTTGCCAAACCCAAAATCAAAAAGTTTTTCCTCTGTTTTCCTTTAAAAGTTTTATTTCTGTTAATTCTGTTTGTGCCATGAGATACGGGCAGAGAGTTTTTTTTTGTTCATATAGATGTCCAGTATTTATTTTGAAGAAGCATTTTGTTTGAAAGGTTACACTTTGGCTGTTTAGTTGCCTCTCTCCCTTTGTCAAAAATAAATTGACCATGTATTTCTGGACTCCCTTGTCTGGTCCGTTGATCTGTGTGTCTGCCTTTTTTACCACCTACTTCTGTATCTATTACTGTAGCTTTATATTAAATGTGGAAATCAGGTAGGGCAAATCCTTCAAATACTTTAAAAAATTATTTTGGCTATTCTAGCTCCTTTGCCTTTCTGTATAAATTTTAGAATAATTTTGTCAACTTTTATCTTCCTTCCATCAAAGAAAATAAAACCTGCTGGGATTTATTGGGATTGCATTTGAATCTACAAATCATGGGAGAGAATTAACATTTTAACAATATTGAATATTCCAAACTCTGAATATAATGTTATCTCCTCATTGTTTTATTTCTTTAATGTATTGTAGTTTTTGGCAAATAGATCCTGCACACATTTTGTTAGGTTTATAGTTAAATATGTCATGTTTCTTGGTGCTATTGTAAATAGTTTTTTTTTTTTTACTTCAATATTTGATTGTTCCCTGTTACTGTGTAGAAATGCAGTTTGTTTGTTTGTTTTTTAATAGCAACCTTGCAGTCTTAAAATTACTAGTTGTAGGAACTTTCTTGTGTAGATTCCTTGGTGTTTTCCTATGTGTAGGCAGTCATGTCATCTGTGTATAGAGGCAGTTTTTTCCCTCCTTTTGAATGCTCTTTATTTCTTTTTCTTGTCTTCTTGCACTAGCTTGAACTTTCAGGATGTTGTTAATTAGGAATGGTGAGTAGGCATACTTACCTTACTCCTAATACTGGGTAAAAGCTGTCTTTCATCAGTAAGTGTTTTTTTGGTTGATGCCTTTTGTCAGGTTAAGGAAGTTCCCTTGTATTTTTGTTTTGCCATTTGTTAGATTGAGGAAGTTCCCTGTATCTGGTGCTAGAGTTTTCTTTGTGGGAA